AAGACACCCTAGGCCTTATAAGTTGCAATGGTTGAACGAAAGTGGGGAAGTTAGGGTGAATAAAAGAGTTTTAATTAATTTCTCAATTGGGAGTTACAGTGACAAAGTAGTATGTGATGTGGTGCCTATACATGTGGGTCATATCTTGTTAGGAAAACCATGGAAATATGATAGAAGGGTCACACATGATGGATATAGGAATCGTTATAGCTTTGTCAAGGATGGGAAGACTATTACTCTTGCGCCATTAACACCGGCACAAGTGTATGGAGATCAAATCAAGCTGAAAAGTGAGGAAGACAAGAGAATAAAAGAGTCAGGAAAAAGGAGAGGCAATAGTGAAACCATCAATAAGAGAGAAAATAGTGAGGTGGCTGAGAGTGGAGGAAAGAGAGAGAAGCCACATGAGCGGAGAGAAAAAGAGTCAGTTGAGAGGAGAGAAAAAGAATCAACTGAGCGGAGAGAAAAGTCAAAGGTCAACTTCTATGCAAAAGAGAGTGAGTTGAAAAAGGCTATGAGCGATAATAGGCAAATGATATTGTTAGTGTACAAGGAATCCCTCCTCAATTTCGAGGATTCTAACACATCCTTCCCTAGTTTGGTTAAGTCTTTATTGCAGGAGTTCGACGACGTGTTTCCTGAGGAGATGCCGAGTGGATTGCCACCAATCAGAGGCATCGAGCACCAGATTGACTTTGTACCCGGAGCTATCATACTGAATCGACCAGCTTATCGAAACAATCCCAAGGAGACGAAGGAGCTTCAAAAGCAAGTGGAGGAGTTGATGAGCAAAGGTTTTGTCAGGGAGAGCATGAGTCTATGTGCTGTACCTGTTTTGCTGGTGCCTAAGAAGGACAAGACTTGGAGAATGTGCGTGGATTGCCGAGCTATCAACAATATCACGGTAAAGTATCGTCACCCAATACCTAGGCTAGATGATATGCTTGATGAGTTGCATGGTGCTTGCATTTTTAATAAGATTGATCTTAAGAGTGGGTATCATCAAATTCGCATGCGGGAGGGTGATGAATGGAAAACGGCGTTTAAGACTAAGTATGGATTGTATGAATGGTTAGTTATGTCGTTTGGACTCACTAATGCACCGAGCACTTTTATGTGTTTAATGAACCATGTTTTGCATGCTTTTTTTGGGAAATTTATTGTAGTTTATTTTGATGACATCTTAATCTATAGCAAAAACCTAGATGAGTATTTAGAACATTTAAATTGTGTGCTTGTTGTGTTGCGAAAGGAACAACTGTATGCTAATTTCAAAAAGTGCACATTTTGCATGGATAGAGTTGTTTTCCTAGGATTTGTGGTTAGTGCTAATGGGGTGGAAGTCGATGAAGAAAAGATAAAAGCTATAAAAGAATGGCCAACACCTAAGACTATAACTGAAGTTAGGAGTTTTCATGGATTGGCTAGTTTTTATAGGCGATTTGTAAGAGATTTTAGCACCATCACCACACCGTTGACTGAAATAATAAAGAAGAGTGTAGGTTTCCATTGGGGAGAATCTCAAGAAATTGCATTTAACACAATTAAGGATAAGCTATGTAAAGTACCTGTTTTGGCATTACCAAATTTTGATAAAACATTCGAGGTTGAGTGTGATGCATCAGGAATAGGTATAGGAGCAGTGTTTATGCAGGAAAGGAGACCTATTGCTTACTTTAGTGAAAAGTTGAGTGGGGCAGCATTGAATTATCCGATATATGACAAGGAGCTGTATTCACTTGTTCGAGCATTGGAGACTTGGCAGCACTACTTATGGCCAAAGGAATTCGTGATACACACCGATCATGAATCTTTAAAGCATTTGCGAGGTCAAGGTAAGTTGAACAAAAGACATGCGAGATGAATGGAGTTTATCGAGACATTTCCCTACATCATCAAGTACAAACAAGGTAACGAAAATATAGTTGCTGATTCGTTGTCTCGAAGGTACGTGCTTTTAAATTCATTAAGTACTAAATCATTTGGTTTCGAACATATTAAGGGCATGTATGAATCTGATTGTGATTTTTCTAGTATTTATGCTTTATGTGACAAAGGTGCATTTCATAAATTCTATAGGCATGAAGGATATTTGTTTAGGGAAGATAAGTTGTGCATTCCTAATTGTTCTTTGCGTGAATTATTGGTAAGAGAAGCACATGGAGGTGGTTTAATGGGACACTTCAGGGTTCAAAAGACTTTAGACATATTAGGGGAACATTTTATTGGCCTAAAATGCGACATGACGTAGAACACATATGTGGAAAATGCATAACTTGTAAAAAGGCTAAGTCTAAGGTTCAACCCCATGGTTTGTATACTCCTTTACCTGTACCTAGTGAACCTTGGGTAGACATATCTATGGACTTTGTGTTAGATTTGTTTAGGACAAAAAGGGGTCGGGATTCAATATTTGTAGTGGTCGATAGGTTTAGTAAGATGGCACACTTCATACCATGTTATAAAACTAACGATGCTACTAATATTAAAGACTTATTATTTAGGAAAATAGTACGTTTACATGGAGTACCTAAAAGTATAGTGTCTGATAGGGACGTGAAGTTTTTGAGTCATCTTTGGCGTGTTCTGTGGAGTAAGTTAGGAACTAAGTTATTATTTTCTACAACTTGTCACCCACAAACAGATAGACAAACTGAGGTAATTAATCGAACTATGACTCAACTACTTAGGACAGTGATCAATAAAAATCTGAAATCATGGGAAGAGTGTTTACCGTTTATAGAGTTTGCATATAATCGAGCTACACATTCTACTACTTTGTTTTCTCCTTTTGAAATTGTTTATGGTTTTAATCCACTATCACCTATGGATTTAATGCCTTTGCCTGTGCATGAACGAGGTAGCTTAGATGGGAAACGAAAAGCCGAGATGGTGAAAACACTCCATGAAAAGGTCAGGATGCAGATCGAAGAGAAATGAAAGTTGATTGCATCAAAAGCAAATAAAGGAAGAAGACGCGTTACATTTGAGCCTGGAGATTGGGACTGGGTGTATTTCAGAAAAGAGCATTTTCCAGAACAGAGGAAGTCAAGATTACAATCACGAGGCGATGGACCGTTTCAAATCATCGAGAGGATCAATGACAATGCATACAAAGTGGATTTACCTGATGAGTATAATGTTTCACCTACTTTTAATGTCGCTGATCTTTCTCTTTTAGATGCAGGTTTAGATTCCAGGACGAATCCTTTTGAAGAGGGAGGGGATGATATGAATCAAGGCGCGTCAACAACCAAGACAACTCAAGCGTCAAGTCATGGGAAGGATCCGTTGATCGTCGAAGGTGGACCGATGACGCGATCGAGGATGAAGCAAGTGAAAGAAGCGATGGGATTGCTCGTCAAGCAAGTCAATGAAGACACAACGTTCGGGGCATAAAATGGAGCAAGTTTCATGTTGAAGTCGAGGGCCAAAAGGACTTGGATCAACGTGATAAAGACGGAAGAAAATGAAGCCGATGATTGTTCCATGAGACCGCATGGTTAAACAATCTAAGCGGTCGTATAGATGGCCTCAGGGATAATATTGGGGGCAGGGAATTGTTCTATGCGACCGCATAGATTAAAACTATGCGGCCGCATAGAACAAAAACATGAAAAAAAATTCGTTTTTTTCCGAATTTCCTAGTTTCAATAGAATTCTTATGAAATCAACTTATTATCATAATTTGATGGGTTTTGGACTTTTTTACTCATTAGTATAAATAGGAGAATATTTTTCATTGTAAGAACTATTGTTTGAATAATATTATAGAGAAAGAATTTGTTCTTTTAATTTCTTGTTCTTCTTGAACAATCTTGGAACTTATCAAGATTCAATTTCTTGTGGCATTCTAAACAATCGGATTGTGGGTTCTTTTAATTGTAATCAAGGGGTTTTAGATTTTTTGCTAATCTAGGGTTTCTTGGTTCAATTTTTGGGGTTCAAGATCCAAAATCGGGTAAGTATTAGCGTTCTTGGGTTCCGTATCAATCTCGTTGTGGGTTTTGTAGTTTCCATTGCTACGGGGTTCGCATCATATCTCGTAAGTTTACATGTCCAATTATAGGTGTCGCATTTGACTTCCTAACCTGCTACACATTAATTATTGGCGGCTCTGCCACTACGTTGACAAGATAAGGCACTTGTGCTCTATAATGGGCGTCCCATCAATCACTCAAGGAGGATCTTTGTGTAAGACCGGATCTCTAGGGAGCAGTCTTCTTAGAGCCTTAGGACTTCGGATAGAAGGGCCTCGACTATGAGATCTCCTCAACGTATTAGCTTTGGTGGTAGCACTTGGACCATGCGTGGTGCTGTTATAATATGCTATTGTTCTTGTTGGGATGGGGCCTCGGATAACATGCCACGTGGTTCGGTGGAAGTGGGCCATGTGCCCCAGTGGGTCGGACAGGTGTGTCAACACGTAACAGACATTACTGCTGTATAGTATAAGAATCAAAATCCAACTTGTATGTCTATGCATTTATACAATAAATTAAACAAATATAAAGCTTCCTTGCAACTCTTTCTGTTTCTGCCTGTTGAATATTGAGATATGTTTCACTTTTTGTTTTCAATTTGTCATTCAAGTTCTAAATTAGCCAGTGTTCAGAATCTAACTAGCCCAGTACACTGGTTGTAATATGGCAAAAAAAGCCAATGGTTAACGCATAGCTTCTGGTTTTCTTCTTCGGGTTTCTATTGGTAAAATTAGTCTCCAGTGGAAATCTAAATATTATTTACTAGTGTAGGACGACTTTTGCTTTCTTCATATGTTAGGGAAAATTCACTATTTTCCCGAAACCTCAAGATTTTGTTGCCAACTATATGAAATTCAAGAATTCAATTTCCCGAAACCTCAAGAATTTAATCCCCTGAAACCGCGGGAATTCAAGAATTCAATTCCCAGCAATAACTCAATTAATAAAAAATCAAATAATAATTTAGAAGCAAAAATGTTTGCAATACTATCTACACAACGGTGCGAGGTGGAGTACCTTAGTTGAACAGAAACTGAAAAGAGATGAAATCCTCTTCTCTGCAAACGCCAACACCAAAGTGCTTTGCCCGATAAATGTGTTTCACGAGCCGGATCCATTCCTCCTCCCAGATTGCTGCGGTATTGCACAAAAATCAACTTCTCCGGGCAGTTTTGCACAGAAATCTGGACGATTTTCTTCTCCAATTGTACCGTACAAATTTTCTTCTCCCATTGCCGATCATCGTTCCGTTTATCTATCTATAGCTGCCGACTGTCGTTTGTATCTCTGTATGAATGTTGTCCTATGCCATCTAAATCATCTAATATACAGTCAGGCAGCATCCCTTGTTTAAAAGGAGTCCTTTTTTCCTTTTGTCTTCATTCAACGATTTTTGTTCAAAGAAAGTCTAATTCAAATTGATTCCATTCCACTTGGTCCAGGGAACTTTAAATTAATGTACGTTATCAAGGTCCCTATTTTTTTTTTTTTTTTCAAATAATGCATTTTAATCCTCAAGTTCATTTATGTTTTGCAGCCTTGATCCTCTTCAATTACTAATTTGTAGAATTTAATCATAATGATAAAAAAAAATTCAAATTCATTCATATTGAACAATATTAGCTCCAATCACGATTTTTTTTTCTCCTAACATCTTTAAAAAATACAAATAATTAAGGATCAAACAAAATTATGAGATTATAGGTTGGTCGGTGATGGTGGCTTAATCGGAGATGGTGGGTTGTGACTGGTGTGGGAAAGAAAGGAAGGGTATACACAAAGTTGAGAGGTAACGATACGGTGATTAAGAGAGATGGGCGCACACACGTTATTAATAGAGATGGATGCACACATGCACAACTATGAGTATTGTTCGTCTTGTCGTCTTCTTTTCGAAATGGTCGTATGAGTCCAATTCGAGTTCGAATATTTTCCCTCTATTATTACATTTTTCCCATTATGTCCTACATTAACTCAAATCATGCTGAGGCTTTATCTAGGCTCGGACAAGGGAGTAGCAATTGGCTGCCACTTTCATACGAAATGTCAATTGTCTATGTCGAAAATAGAATAGATGAATGATTCTAAAAGCCTTGAAGTTACATCTCTTTGTCATTTTTATCATAGGAGAAAACTTTGCACAGAGTTTTATCACTACTAATGAGTGGCTTCAAAATTTCTTATGGACGCAGACATCGCAACTCGCAAGCAATACAGTGTTATAGTTCTTCATTATCGACATATGGCATTTTTTCCAAGTTGCTCAATGTTGGGACCACTAATTGACATCTATTTTGACAAAACATGTAAGAAGAGCAAGGCGAACGAAAACTTAATCTATTGGACATATCACTTCTGTTTCACCAGATTAGACACAAAATATGCAGACCAATTAAAAAAGCAATAAGTTTCTCCAAACATGCACCGAGAGTTGCCAAATTTTCATGTACAATATCTTTGCGTGTACCTTTTGCGGGAATGATCTACAATTTTAAATTAACCTGACCTAATTAATAGGCCTTAAATTACTATAGGTTCATTTGTCAAAAAAAAAAAAAAAAAAAAAAAAAAAAAAAAAAATAACAAGATCTAATTAATGTGCCTTAAATTACTAAAGGTTAGTTCATCAAATAACAATTAATAGGCCTTAAATTACTATAGGTTAATATGCCTTAAATTACCAAACGGATTACACAGGGTTATAGTAAAAGGAATATGATAGTTAATTATATAGTTAATACCTATCTAATTACTCGAAGTTTAAATCTTATCACCTTATCATTCATGATAAAATCTTACAAATGTAATTTATCCTGTTCTCAATTTTTTATTAAATATTTAATATATTTATTTTTTTGGTTACAAAATTATTTATCTGGAAAAGGGTGGCCAACTGAAATCCAGGTTTTGGTGCAAAACTCCATTTTTTTGTACAAAACCATTCTTTGAGTTATGGACGTTTTTCTTCTCCAAATGGATATAATCTTCTAATATTTCTTTTTCCTTTTGGGAGGAGATGAATTTTCTGTTTCAAATATATTTGAAATTATATAAGAATCCTTTTATATAACTTTTCCTTTTTTTTTTCCTAAGAATAACGAAATTTAATTGGGTATAAGATTTTGTTTTGGGAAAATTCCCATTTCCCTCTTTTTCTTCTTCTTCTTCTCCTTTTTTTTTTTTTTTTGGTTAACATCTTTAGCTTCTTATAAGATGTGTTTCTCACTTTTAAATTTACATTCTCATTTTCTAGATTTCTGTAACCCGGGTATTTTCATTCAATCTCCAATCTAATGATTCTTTTTATGTATTTATTTTTTTGTTTCTTAATCTAATATATTTGCATTTCTTGATTTCATGTTGATTCATTTTGCAGTTCTATTGATCATTTGTCAAAGATTGCTGATATACTTATTCACGATCTAGGTACGTTTATATCCCTTTTTTCCCATCTCATGTTTTACAGCAATTCGTGGTGTTTGCTTGTTGTGAATATTGTACATATTTTTTGGTGCTCACATATTTTTGGTTTTGAATGCGTGTGTATATGTGTGTGTGTGTGTCTATATATATATATATATATATATATATATATATATATAGAGAGAGAGAGAGAGAGAGAGAGAGAGAGAGAGAGAGAGAGAGAGAGAGAACTGAATATGAAAAACTGAGTTAAATCATGAGAATTGACGGGAAATTACACAGTTGATCAGCTTTCAAGTTTTTAGTGTTGCCACTCTCCCCATTTTCACCATAATTTCCGCCCAAGTAAAATGGAACTACCGTCGCCTGTTAGAGAAATTGGATCTAATTAGCAATATAATTCACAAATAAATAGCTCAATTGTCTGTGTGATAACATAATGCAGACTAGGCCCCAGATATACTTGTTTGGTTAGATGAATTTTATCTACATGTAATTTAGCAAACCACAACTGCATTAAATATAACCATCGTGGGGGATCAAAATCATTCGTTGCACGTCTTGATAAAAAGGTAATATTTTCTTTTGTTGTGTAAAGAAAAATATATTTGTGTAACATGATATATATTATTTCAAATAGAGATCAATTACTAAAGACAACGGACAATGAGAAATAGAACTTTATTATGAGACTCATTATAATGAGAAGAAAGGGTGGATAAACAATAAAGCACGAACAAGAAATGCAAGTATATTAACTATTTATTCGTTGTTACTGACATTTTATATACCATATATTCCCTGTTCTTTTTCTTTACTTATATATAGGAGAGTATGCTTCAAATTAAAAAGTAACCTATTCTAGAAGGATATGAGGCCCCCACTGAACTTGAAATTATGCAAGAAGTTTTAAGAATATTTAGAGGTTACATTAGAGGACTTGAACATGGTCAGAAACCTGCCTCATGCCACTCTTCTCATTTAAAATTGGTTGATACTGAATCAATAGCCCTTCGAGAGCAAATACAAAAGCAGGAGCAAGGCTTTCTCAATTTGAGGTACTAATGTATAAGTTTGTATCAAGTCAAATCGGCAAGTCTCCACAACAAGCTGAACCAGCAACAATGTTTAGCATGCCATCCCTACTGATAATATATGAATTATTTATTTATTTGCTTTAATTATTGAGACGACTATTTTCTTTTGTGGATTGCTTCAACCTAGTATTTCTATTTTTATAAGTTATGATGTGATTGAATAAAATTTTTTAGAAATTTTATATGGCTTTTATTATAAAAATTTTGCTCTTGATAAAAAATAATTGAATTTTTTAAAAATTTGTATTACATATTAAAATTTAGCCAGACATTAAAAAAACACTTATTACAAAAAATAAAAATAAAAGTTAACGTTAAGACAGCAAGCAAATAATGTTACAAAATAAAATAAAATCAACGGATGAGGTATATCGTAAAAACTTTACAACAATGTACATTTGAGGGCTTTTGTGGCATGCATTGCACATTGTAGTATCCTTCAACTCTATGACAATATTAGACTCTACAATATATGGGTGAGCATTGTAAAAAATCTACTGCAATATTTTTTGTCTGTTGCAAAAAAATTATTTTCTTGTAGTATTTTGTCGTCCAACTATAGAATTTTTAGCAACAAATATTTTTTATTGCTAAAAGGAGATCCTATTGCATCACAAGCATTTTGTTGCAAGAAAAAATAGTTTTTCACCATAAATTTCCCACCAAAAATTTTTTGGTGCCTTGCTTCCCTCATATTTTTGGCAACATTGTTTATTACTTGTCGCAACTTCTTACATTTCACGACAACTTTTTATGTCGTCTTATATTTTTTGGTACTTAATTTTTTCATCACAATCTTCGCGTCAAACTTTAAAAATGTGTCGCGTTAAGTCACTTATTGCGACAACTTTTTGTATGTTGCAAAAAATCTTATCGCGAAATCATAGTTTTGTTGTAGAATTACCTTACAATTTCATGTTCTGTTTGTTGCTTTTACATGACTCGTTGCATATTGAAGTGAGTCATTTATTATCTAATATTTCCCATGGGCTAATTTTGCATCTGAAGTTACTGGTCAGTTTAAGCTCTCAAATGCCTAAAATTCTCTCTTCAATTTTGGTGAATTTCTTTGTATGAGTTGCGGATTAATATACATGGTCTGGTTCAATGCCGTAAATGTCGTAGATCTTGTAGAAGCAATATTATTTCATTTCCCTACTATTATATTCTCAACTTGTTATGCATGTCTTACCTCGTCGCATATAAATTGTTAGTCTAGGACTAAAATGATTCCTAATTATTACCTCACTTAAGTTCACATTTTTTTTTTCTATAGTTTCTATGCGAACAATTTGCATTATTAATCTAATCATTGCTAAATGCTGAGTTCATATTTAAATTGTTCAAAAAATACTTAAGTGAATTCACCTGCCATCGAACACGTGCTTATTACTTCACTTACTTTTGGCTCATAATATACTGAGATATTTGATTATATTAATTTATCTCACTTATTGACACACCAATGAGTCTAAAGTTCGCAAATTGCTGCCATTATTTTGTTTTGGATTAATGCAGTATATATTTTCAAGTGTACTAGAGTCGTTACTCGTGAAAGTCACTCGCCATGGATATTACAAACTATGTATCCTAACTGATAGAGTAGTTGACCTTGTGATTGTGGTAGAACAAAGCATCTAACATTTTATTTTCAATCTATTACTGATATTTCTCTATTAAGATTCAACTGTTTGTATTAGCTTCTCAACCTAACCACTCATATCATACCATCACGTAGATCTAAAGCATGCGATACAACATTTGTGTAGAGACGTAAAAAAATTAATTATATCCATTTCTTAAATTTAAACTATGGTTAACAAGAAATCGAAAAAGGTAAAAGAAATAACTTTTGCAATATAAAATATTGTAACACTTATAGGGATATATTACACATTTTATATATTGGAATTTATGTTAATTTGCGGGGCTTAATTATTACTGTTGTGCAAAGTTAGCACACGAATTGACCTCCACAATGACGCCATCGTCGAGGTTGAAAGGAGGGCAGGAAGTCCCCCTCAAAATTTTATAAGGATAATTTAGGAATTAGTGTCCTTGTAAATATTGATTTAGCAATTTGTGTCATAGTAAATTATGATATTTGCCCTAGTTTTGTCTACCATATAGGGGGCCATCATTTGACTTTTTAATAACCATCATAAAAGAGAGAAATAGATGTTATAGAGGATATGTGTGCAATTTTCTCTTGTAAACTTTTTTCATCAGAGTTATTAATACGATTCTATTTAGTTCACTGATGGTGGAAAATCATATACTTTCTAAATAAGGTTTTCTACTTTGTAAGGAATTCTAACACAAACCAACAGCGGAAGATGTGTAATCTCTTTTCTTCTCTTAGTGTGCATAGTTTTCTTACATGCCTCCCATTCCAGTAATGAAATATACATAATTTAACATTGAGGTGAATGTCTATAAATTTTGCTTATCTTTATTTCTTTCTGTGAATTGATAAAGTTAAAGTTTCTAATTTTCAAATATTCACAATAAAAATCGTAGTTAAAAAAAGTGTTAAAAATGCAAGTTTTGAGTTTTCCCTAAATTTGGGTCGTATGAATTTGGTTAGAGGCATTATCCTCTTCCGGTTTAGACTTTAGACCTCTAATATAGCAAACTACAATTTTTATTCTTTTGTGCAAATTGGACTCACTTAAATTACAGAAGAATTTTTATAATTATAAATTAAATTTAGGGATAATTGCTCCGAGCCCTCCTGGATTGCGTGCTACACCAATTCTCGGCTCTTGATTTCGTCCATCTCCTGTGGATTCAAGAGAACTCCCCGTTCTCTCACGATCGGAATCCCGATCTCCTTCCTTGATCTTCAATAATCAACAAATACTCTAGAAGATTGTGTTGTAGTGTTTGATGAAGGTGGGTTTGATGTTTTTCAGTGATTGTGCTAGTTGAATATGGGATTGAATGAATTATTCAAGTTGTAGAGAATTTTTCTTCAATGTTCAATCCTTGAGGGAACGTCTGAAAATCGGCACAATATAATTAATAGGAAGTGTATTGGGTCATTTGGGTAGGGTCGAAATCTCGAAAAAAGAAAAATAGGGTTTTCTAGGTAACACCGTCGCTCAAGCTCGAGCGAAGTAGGGGCGAAAAGTGAGCGAAGGACTTTCTACTTTTGACGCTCGAGCGACCACTTGGCAAACAGCTAGCGAAACTTCAATGACACATCTTGCCCTACTACACAGATCGAACCCTAACAAACTTTTACCAAATTGCAACTTGGTCCCCCATCTTTTACCCATGTACAATTTTACCCCTAACCTTTAAACATTGACAACCTGACCCCAAACTTTTGAGAAATTACATTTTGACCCTTTTGATCACAGAATTGCCAACACAAAATCTAACAAACTCCCCTTTTGGCATTCTGTGACAAAACAATATTACATTAACATGAACTACAATGACGACCCAAAACACTGACTCAACTTCTTGTTGTCTTGTCTTCTTTCAACCTGTTTCCTGAAATCACAACTCACATACCCAGTGTAAAAGCACGAGAAATAGTAATAGTTAACATAGTGCATTGGGCAGGGCTGGGTCAAGGGAAAAGTGTTAAAAGCATATATATAGATTAGACAAACATTCATAAATAGCCATAATATCATACCAATAAGCTTGATCAAGATACAATATCAATGTAAGTCAAAGTACCAAAAACTTACATTAATATTGCAAAACATCAAAACCTAATCTAGCAAAAGTAGTGTATCAATCATCACAAATCCCAAAAAAAACTACAAGTTGCTACTCCCCCTTTTTGTTACAAATGACAAGGGGATCCCTAAGCAACTAAATAGCACCATCATCTCCGTCGTCCTTGTCATTAGTCTCATTAGCATTAGACTCATAATCCTAGTGCTCGTACATCCATTGGATACCACGCTGAACAAGTGCAATAACTCCTTGTAGTGTAGCAAACTTCGTAGTATGCGCTCGGATGTAGCCCACAGCTGAGTAATCTCGACCATCATACGGGCTTGCTACTCAATACAAATTGACATCTGGCCCATAAGTGCCATAGAAGAGTCAACAGGAGCAGTAACCGATGCAGGCTAGGCTAGTGGTGGTACAGAAGTGGAAGAAGAAGGAATATCAAGAGCGGATATAAGAGCATGAGAGTGGGACGGAGGAATAGCTGAGAAGTCAGCAAGTAGGTCTCCTATAGGATCAATAGACACTGCCGAGTCAAACAGGCACAACTGGCTCAGTAGGAGTAGAGGCAGAAGTAGAAGATGTAACTTGCGACCTACTTTAGAAACTTTCAAAATTAGCACCTTTTAAAGAAATTTGAATTTTGACACCCTTTTTTATATGAAATACATGCATGCAGTATGTATGTCCAATTAAAATGCAATCAATCACAAATACGACATGCTCAATGATTAGAAGTGCTTCTCCACACACGGGGATCAAGTACAGATGGAGTAAATTGTATATATGACCCAAAAAGTGCCACTAACTCCATGCAAGTAAGACTCAAAACCTTAAATTTGTGAGAAGGGATAGCTAAATCACAGTAGTATAAGTCTATACTTAGATGTTTGAAAGTCAAATCCAATGTCACTAGGACCTATAATTCATTTAAACACGGTGTAAAAATGCTCTTTCTCCCCTTGTCATCAAGGACCCTCAATTTTTTTTTTTAAATTTAAATCTTATGCGCAATCCTATCTCCATTAAGCTACTAAGAAAACCCCTATAATGAGCATTGGATCTGTGACTCCCAAATCAAATGGCTTTTGGGCACCGAATTATAAGAAACCCCTCAGACTTAATTGCTCGAGTCAACTAGGCTATGAAGACAGGTATAAGATGTAATGAAATAAATGATATTCTTCAGGATCACTTGGGGGGCACACTAGAAGTTAGATCATCTAGTTTAAGATCAATTCAAACCTAAGGTCAACTCAACGATAGATGATAGCCATCCCAAGTTTCACACATGCGGTCAAGACTCACTCACATGGTCCTAATGTGTGCTGTGCAGATAAAATAAGAAGTGACATATACTAGGTACTTCACACAGACTCAATATAAGTGAAATGTATTGAATGCATATTTGATCTCAAATTGCAAGTCCAACTGAACAACTACAATGCAAAAATGACAAGTAAAGACCAGTCCCAATTTTTTTTTAATAAAATAAAAAGAAACGCAAAATGAGAGACAGACGTAAATGAAAATAAGCAAGCAATGTAATGAATGTAGAAATGAACTACTGAAATAAACTAGACATGCATGTACCTATGAAGGTGATTAAGGAGGGACACAAATGTCGATAGCCTTCCTAAGTAACTCGAACCTCAACCCATCTAGAGGTTTAGTGAATAGATTGGCAAGTTGATTTTCAGTATAGATGTGTTCAAGTGATACCACATTTGACTCAACTAGCTCTTGAATAAAGTGATGACGATTGTCAATATTTTTGGTCCTAGAATGCTGAACAAAATTTTAGGATATGCTGATAGCACTAGTATTCTCACAGAACACAATCATGGTACCCTGATTTATCTCGTAATCACTCAACATTTGCTTCATCCAAAGCTGTTGAGTGCAACAACTACCAGCTGCAATGTATTCTGCCTCAGCTGTGGACAGAGAGACTAAGTTTTGTTTCTTACTCATCCATGACACAAGATTAGAACCAACATAGAAACATCCACCTGAGGTACTCTTTCTATCGTCGACATTTCCAGCCTAATCGGAATCAAAATAGCCGGCGAGTTCAAGATTGGACTCTCTAGAGTACAAGATCCCATGATTTACTGTCTCATTAACATACCTAATGATACGCCTTACTGCACTCAGATGGGAATCCTTAGGATCAGCCTGAAATCTAGCACACACTCCAACACTAAACGCTATGCTAGGTCTACTGGCTATAAGTTATAATAGGGTACCTATCATGTTTCTATACAATGTCTGATCAACACTCCTACCTGTAGGGTCATGTCCTAACTTAATACTCGTGCTCATGGGTGTCCTTTTGTGTTCTTTACTATCCAAGCCAAATCTCTTTACGAGGTTTTTGGCATATTTTGATTGAGAGATAAAAAGCCCACAGTCAGTTTGCTTCACCTGAAGACCAAGGAAGTAACTTAGCTCTCCAACCATGCTCATTTCAAATTCTTATTTTATACATTCAGCAAATTTATGAGCAAGAGAGTCAATGGAAGACCCAAAAGAGATGTCATCGATATAAATCTGTGCTATAGTTATAGTTTCTTCAATATGCCTTATAAATAGAGTTCAGTTTGTACCACCTCTTGAAAATCCATGGTCAACGAGGTATGCAATGAGTCTGTCATACCAAGCTCTGGGAACTTGTTTTAGACTATACAAGGCTTTATTCTGTTTGTAGACATAATGAGGAAAGTTAGGGTTAATGAATGCTTTGGGCTGTTCAACATATGCCTCTTCTTGAAGTATTCCATTCAAGAAGGCACTCTTGACATCCATTTGATATAGCTTAAACCCTAAGGTATAAGCAACAACAAGAAGAATGCGAATGGACTTAAGACATGCAACAGGGGCAAAAGTCTCATCAAAATCTACCCCTTCAACCTGAGTATACCCTTGGGCAACTAGTCTAGCCTTATTTCTTATTATGGTGGTACCTTGGTCATCGATTTTGTTCTTGAAAATCCACTTAGTACCTATCACATTACAATCATCAGGCTTAGGAACTAGATACCAAACATTGTTTCGAACAAATTGATTAAGCTCCTTATGACAACATTCATCTCTAAGGGCTTTCTCTACTTTCTTAGGTTCAATCTAGGATACATAGCTTGTATATGTTAGGTTATTCGGAACTCTCTTTCGTAACCTCATACCTTCATCTAAATCCCCAATGATGTTAACCTTAGGATGATTAGATTTGACCCTTGATGACGGTTCTCTAGGAAGCTTAGATTGGTCACAATTTGGTAGATCCTTATTAGAGATGTTTATACCTTTAGAGGAGTGTGGAGATTTTGGAGTTAATTGTTCTTTATTTTCAGCAATGGCTCCTTGATCATCACTTAGATTGTCTATATCTACCCTATTTTCAACACTCTTCCACTCAGTGAAAGCATCATCGATAACAACATTTATAGACTCCATGGCACTCTGAGTACGCAAGTTGTAAACACGATAAGCTCTACTATTCTTAGAACATCTTTGAAAAAACCCATTCGTCACTCTTGGAATCAAACTTGCCTAAGTTTTCTCTATCCCTCAGAATGTGGCACTTGCTGCCAAATACACGAAAGTATTTGACAGTAGGCTTCTTGCCCTTCCAGATCTCATAGAGAGTCTTATTGGTTTTTGGTCTCAGATAAACTCTATTCACTATGTGGCAAGCAGTATTAAAGGCTTCACCCTAGAAATGCATGGCTTGATCATTGCCGTGTAGCATAGCCCTAGCCATTTCCTGAAGTACTCTGTTTTTCCTCTCAGTAAGCCCATTTTGTTGTGGAGTGATTGGTGAGGAGAACTCATGTTGAATTCACTCCTCCAAATAGAAGTTTTCAAGGGTAGATTTTTCAAATTCTTTCCCATGATCACTTCGAACCCTAGAAATGGAGAGATTCTGTTCAATTCTTAGTCTTTTACACATGGATTTAACCAGATCACATGTCTCAGATTTTTCTCTTAACAGTTTAATCCAGGTGTATCTAGAGAAGTCATCTACCACAACAAGAATATAACATTTACCTCCTAAGCACTCAACCCTAGATGGTCCCATTAAATCCATATGGAGAAGTTCTAAGGGTCTGTTTGTCAAGATTTTAGAGGTTTGTTTATGGTTTATCCTAAGTTGTTTCCCTTGCTGACAAGGTTTACACACAGCATTTTCATTTTGTTCAATTTTAGGCAAACCATCTACAATTTTCTTTTTGACCAACTTTGACAAACTTTTATAGTTAACATGACCGAGTCTTTGATGCCAAAGTTTAGTCATATCAATCTTAGCACTGTTGCATACATAGTTAGAGTTTGAGAGAACTCTATAACAGTTATCAGAAGTTCTAACACCTTTAAGAACAATGACACGCCCAGTCCCGAGTCACCCTAATAGACTAGGAACGTGATGTACACCGATGATAGATGCTGACTAGATGTTAGATCCATCACCAAGGTTGACTATGACTTACTACAAAATATGCTCCAAAATGAAATGCTATATAAAATATAATGAGATGGGCCCAAATTATTTACTTTGTGCCTCATCAATATGAATTTATAACACTCAACATGTCGTGTGGTTCTCATTCAAAAATTATTAGGCTCTTCCAGCTAAAAGAATCAATTGCTACCTGTAAGAAAATTAAGGGAAATATATGAGTTTATAGCTCAGTGAGTGGAAGAGTTCGAAAATAATTATACTTTCTCCTTTAAACATTTTTACCAAACATTCAGTTCATATCGTTTAATATTCACATTATAGACTCATACAATTATAGCAAAAAGTAAGTCATTCTTATAACACTGTAAATATCATCTCATAATCACGATATAGTCATCAGCTGATATCTATACCATCATCTCATCACATCACATGTGATCCACCAAAAATGTACCCTCTGACTAAAAATCTGTAATCCGCCCCCTTGGGCTAAGTACTTTCGCTACGGGCCTTTGGCCCCCTCCGTGAACGAAAGTCGGTCTCAAAGACATCTGATAATCAATTCTACAAAACGGCCAAGGCCCCTCAGTGAACTATATATACATGGTTAAGACCCTTCGTATAAGATAGAATACGACCAAGGCCCCTCTGTGAACTAGAAGAAGTACATAATCACAGGTACTTTTCCGGTCAATCTCAATATCACGTCTCACATACCAAACAAATCTCAATATCACGTCTCATATACCAAGTCACAAACGTACAATAAATAATCATTGAAATTCCACATGTATCATAGTAAAAGAGATTTCCATAAAAACCATATAATTCGAACACATAATTGCAAATAATTGTACATACTTTAACAATATACTTAATTTATAAATACTTTAAAAATATTTATATTTTTTCACTCACAGTACTATGTTCGCAAATTAACCCAGTTGGTAAGCTATTCTGATGTCAGTAACGTTGCCTGAAATACGATATAATTTCTAAATAAACAATTAATTATTTTAAATAATTTCAATAATTAAATAAGCGATATCCAAACTTAATCATTTCACGTTTAGACGATTTCTATAGTCTCTTTAATAACTAAAACTAGTTTTTCTTTCACTTTACTCAATTTCATAGTTTATTATACTTAACCCCTTCAATAAAATTGAATTTAGTCTAAAAATATAAAAACTATAAAATTAAACATAAGTTGATAATAAGTAACTTTTTACTTACCTTTCAAAATTGAAAAATTTAAGCCTAATAGTGTAGACCACTTATTTTCTAACAACATAGGCGAACTTTCCTTCCCCCCCTTGTTTTTCCTATCTTTTCTCTTCCTTTTTCTCCCTGCTCGCATTTCTTGTGCGTTTTGGTGTGCAGTGGGTTTAGATTGTATATATATATATATATATATATATATATAGCAATGGATTGGAATGAGTTTGATGGCTATCCACCGCCTGCAAATTCAAAATTTTTAATTGTTTTTAATTTTTTTTGTTTGACTTGACTTTTCTTTTTTTTTCTTTTTTTTTTTTTTTTTTAGATTAAGTTATTACAAAACTTGCTCCCTTAAAAGAATTTCGTCATCAAAATTCAATTGAGTAAGTACCAAAAAGTTGGAGATACTGTGAACACATTTGATCTTCACGTTCCTATATTGGCTCTCTTCTATTGTGTGATTCACCCATAAGACTTTAAGTCTCACATCAATTTTGATATATGTAGTGCATTCTTTTATGTCTTACATCTTCCTCAACCTTTCCAATTTGTATCTCAATATGCTACTTTTGATGTTCTCCAAACTGCACCTTACATCGTGATTTGAATTGTTCTTGAATAAATCCCTTTTTCCGTAACAATGGTTATATATTAAGATCGAATAGCATTCTTTCACCCATTTCGTCATACGTCCTTGGAATATTTTAATATTATATATTACCTCAATTATCATCAATTGTCTCTAGTTTTTATATGTCAATTCCATGAAAAATAAATAATTATCCCAGTCGCCTTTAATTAACCAACCATAATTGATAGCCTCTCTTTTAAACTTGTCTTCATAGTGTCCGACATTCTATCAAAAGAAGATTCACAATGTAATTTAATTATATAACTTCTTACAACTAACCAAAGATGAATACTCCAATTCCATAATGTAATTAACAATATTGTCTAAATATAATTTTATAAGTCTATCCTATGAACTGACTGTATCATTTAAAAAGAATCTTGTAAGCTTTATCAATCTATCCACAATGATTTAAATACTATTTTGTCTCCATTTCGTATATTTGGAATCCCCAAACAAAAATTTTTGAGGGTAATTACCTCCATACTAAATTGACAATATCTCGAAAAATTCATTTGTTTATGATTTTCTAAAATTCTAGTTATCCCCAATAAAAAATTGAGATAGCTCAATATGATGTTCTTTTCCTTTAATTATATATCACCCAATAATAATATATACACAATTTCCATTTCCACCATTTCTAATAAAATATACCTTAAAACTCTAATGATTGATAAGTATTGATATTTTTTGCAATGTGATGACATAATTCCAATAAAACCAACTCCAAATCATGTTTTAATCATGCCTCTTCAACGATCTATCATATAATTCATAATTCATCATTTTACTTCAGAACGCTTTCTAACCTTAACAGAATCCATTATCATAAATCATTATTGTGAATCAATCACTCATCATCTTTAAATATAACAGCAAATATTTCCCCAGAATTTCCTAGTCGCAAAACTTTTGACATTTCTATACCCATACAAATTTTGTTCTTTCTTTCTATAAAGAGACAATAATAATATTTAATCCATGAAAATCTATACTCTTATCCATAAATGGGTCGTTGGTCTACCATCAATGCATAATCCTTCTTGTATATCGTATAAAGACCTTTAATTGGGGTAATGTAACCTAAAGATACTGTCCCACAATTGAATAAAATTACATTCAATGATCACCCTCAACTTCGAA